CAGAAGAGCTCTTTGATTACTTTGTATGGCTGGAAGCTAGACATAAAAGTTTGCCAAAGCAATATACGCTACTATAATCCCAATCCATGCACCCATCTATCAATCCATCCAAAATCTCCCATTTTTTGTATTTCCAAGCAGTGTATATTAAAAGTCCCTGCTTAATTCATGGTTTGAAAATTTGGACATGTAATCCATCTCCCTACATTGATTGTACAATGTGATGGATAAGTAATGTTAAAGGGCAAGAAACTAATCAACTTTAACTAATACACTCAAAGGTTCTGCTACAGCAAGATACAAGTAAAGTGCATGGACTTTTAACAGTCTATTAAAAAAAACTAGGAAGTGGTAGTAAGCAAGCATGACTCATCCTTCTTTTTTGGGGGGGTTTGTTGTTCAAATGTCTTATGCAAACCATTATACTTATGCAACACTTCAAATGAATTAATAAAACTCTTATTATTATAGAGAACAGAATAAAAATTTAATCTGAAACTCCTTAGGAGCCACAGATACTTAAATGATGCAGTTTGATCCACAGAATATTCCATGCATCACACCATATGGGAAAGGGGGAGGGAGCTGAGAGGTTTTACAATGAAGGTTCTGTTTGTCAGTAATTTGACTCCCATGTTTAAGTCAGGCCATAACATCTAGGGTAGTACTGTGTTGGTTAAAAGGAAACATCTTTAATTCAGAAAGAGTTGTAGTTATAAAGCATAGAAAGGGAAAGCAGAGAATTATTTCCCACCAGCCCAAAAGCTGTAGCCATTGCATTTGAATTGCTATGGGCCACCAAGAGGGGAAACATAGATATTTTAAGGCAATGTGTTAATTTCTAGAATAAAGATCATGCCCTTTTTATTTAAAATAACAACAGACCTCATAGTCCTTTTGCCATATGGAACTGGTGGTACACAAAACACCACTGGAACCTTGAATCAGTGCTGGAAGATCTGCTGAACAATTTGCTATTGCCACTGTCTGTGTCTCGGATTCCATATATTTTCTATTCTGTATGTGTGCCTGCAATGTGTTTTCCAAACAAAAATACAAACCATATACAAAGAAAGCAAATGAATTAGTAATTTAGGGAATGATGCCATTCTATAATTTACAATATTAAGCTTATTAATGGAATAAGCTACCAAGATCCAACAGGATTGCTGATGGAGTGTTAATCTCTGCTAGTCTCTGTGTTAGTGGTCCAGGTCAAAGATTGCTCTATCTTATCCAGGTGTGCAAGAACAGCCAGAAATGCACAGGCATAGCTCTTCTCCTGTTCATTAACTGGCTGTGGGCATATGCCTGGGCACTGTCTGAGGACTTGCCAGGGAAGAAGAAGCTAATCAGTGGCTGAGAAGGGAGGCAGAGTTGTACTTGGGAGCCTTGAGCTGCTCTTGTACATCTGGGACAAGAGTGTTGGGAAAGAGGTGGTTAATGTCTCTTTGCACAATGATGTAGCCAAAATCTCTTAGGGAATTTTGAATTAGCTCAATTATTTTGGCTGTGCTACAAAAACAGCTGTAGGATATGTCCCAGCGTTTACGGAGATTATAGGAATACCAGGAAGGACAGAGGCAGAATTCTGTCAATGAACTGAATGTTTATTAAGTGGACCACATGTCAAAACAAGCACTCACTCACACACTCATACAAGAGGCTCAGGAATAAAGAAATTAGCATTTGAATAGACCCACAGGCTGAAATAACAGTGATACTAACTAAAACTAGGTATGACTCCGGAGGGTCTGATTGTATGATGGGCACTAGACTATGCTGCTCATGAATGTTGAATTGGATGGCAGCCAGTTAGACACTAGTCAGAATTCAGGGTGATGTGGAGTCACCATGAATTCTATCTAGCTCAAGGAACAAAGGATTTTGGAGACCTTATATAGGCAAAAACTAGCCTTGGGCAAAACTATATCAAAGAAGGTCAAATCTGCAAAGAAGAAAGATTACTCAAGACAGCGATATCAAGGTGGGAAAGGGTTGTAAAGTGGGATTCCAGCTTAGATGCAAAACCATCCTGGTTGTTATATTACCTTAGCTTTCCTGTCTCTGGAGGTGTGAATTCCCTTCCTAAATGCATCTCCCAGACCTCCCTTTGATATCTATTTGCTTGCCCTGTGTACATGGTCTCAAGCTTTTGGGCTCATGGTGGCTCAGAGCTTCTAGGTCTGCTTAGGGTCATGGCAAGGAAAATATATACCCCCCCCCAAAAAAAAAATTTTGGAAGACGTCCAGTATGGCTAACAATGGTTTAAATCACCAACAGGATTCTGGCCACAGTTTGCATTTAAATATTAGATACACCACATAGGGGAACCTGAAAATGTGTGTTGCGCAAATGTATTACAAAATTGCAATGCTTTAATCTAAACATAGTTAGCAATTTACTATCAATACTTGATAGGTTATGTAGAATTAGGTTTTTAATGCTGTCTCTGCAACTGTCCTCAGGCCCATGACCTTGTATTGGCACCTGGCATCCACACTTTAGAGACAGCACAACAGTCTGATTGTTGGAGCTATTCTGCTTAAAGATGTCCTCTGTTGTGATAAAATGCACAAAAAACAGATGATATTGTATTAGTGGGAAAAGTAAGCTGGCAGATTCAGAGAAAAGCATTCAAAGGGTCTTTTGAGTGACTAGTAGTCTTTTATGACATTTGAAGTTGTATTAGCTTTCGTGAATCCCCACTTGGCCATGGAAACCATGGGGTGGCCATGGGCAAGTCAAATTCTCTCAGTCTCAGAAGGAGGCAAAGGCAACCCCTCTCTCTGAATAAAGCTTGCCAATAAAACTCTGTGATAGGGTTGCATTGTTGTTGTTGTTGTTGTTGTTGTTGTTGTTGTGTGCCTTCAAGTCATTTCCTATTTATGGCAATGCTAAGGCAAACTTATCATGGGGTTTTCTTGGTAAGATCTGTTCAGAGAAGGTTTGCCATTGCCTTCCCCTGAGGCTGAGAGCATGTGACTTGTCCAAGGTCAAGTGGTTTTCATAGCCAAGCTGGGAATTAAACCCTAGTCTCCAGAGTCGTAGTCCCGTGCTCAAACCACTATGCCATGCTAGCTCTCTTAGGGTCACTATAAGTTGGATACAACTTGAAGGCACACAACGCAACACAACATAGCACAAGCCATACAAATCATATTTATATAAAATCACATTCTAGGAAAGGCAAATGATTTTTTTCTTTATGTTTCATACCAAATGTTTTTTCAGCAGATAGATCTTCTTTCATAATTGTTTCTCTGTTGTCTCCAGCTGGCATTCACAGATTAGTCAGTAGGGATATATTGCTATATGAGTAAGACTTTCTCCACCCAAAACTATGTAACATTTTGCAACATACTTAAAACAATAAATCTACCCTACGTTCAGGGCATGTAAGTGCATTCATTTGTCCTGGCAACAGATCATATGCAGAATTTACTAAGAAATGGAACAATACACTATTATATATATAAAAAAGAAGAAGCTGTGAAGAAATACCCCTGATACATACCAATCCCATTTGGATTACCATTAACATCCTCTACATGGGGCTGCTTTTCAACAGTGTTTGGAAACTTCAGCAAGTACAAAATTCTGCAAGCCAAGTGCTTACTGGGGTTGGTTATATGGAATAAATAACTCCAGTGTTGCAAGGTTACTGGTTACTGGTTACTGGTTTGCTTCTGGGCATAGTTCAAAATGCTAGTTCAGACTATCTGAAAGAGCATGGCTGTATCTACACTGCAGAATCAATGCCATTTGATACCATTTTAACTGCTATAGCTCAATGCTGTGGAATTCTGGGATTTGTAATTTTGTGAAATATTTAACCTCTTTCAGAAAGCTCTGGTGCCACAACAAACTAGAAATCCCAGGATTCCATTGGATGGAGCCATGGCAGTTAAAGTGGCGTCAAATTGCATTAACTCTGCAGTATAGCAGCAATCCATATCTCTCCATAACAGTCTGTCTGAGTTCTGAGATCCTCAGACAAGAGCTTTCCCTGGGTGCTGCTACCAGCACAGACCTATTTGGTGAGGACACATAAGAGGGCATGTCTGGTGGCTACTCCCAGTCTATAGAACTCTCTCCAGCAGCAAGCTTCTTATATCAGAAGGCAAAGACATTAAAAAAAAAATTAGGGCTTTGGATATGAACTGGTTGTACAGAACAATCGTTTAATGTGGAACACTGTGCTTTTATTCTCATTGTTATCTTTGAATGCTTTGAAAATTTTAAATGTGTGTTTTTAATAGAAGAGGTTCTTTTTATTTTAGTTATTGTTTTCTTAATGGTTTTTGTTTTTAGCTGGTTTTAATTTTAAATAGTTTAATTGCTTTTTAACTTTTGTATGCTGTGAATTTTAAATTACATCTGTTTTAACTGTTGTAAGCCTCCTTGAATCCCAAACATGGGAAAGGGCAGGAAAATAGTACTACTGCTGCTACTTTGTGGTTGTGTTGCCTTCAAGTCATTTCTGTCTTATGGACACCCTAATAAAAAGACGTTGGATGCAATACACAGAAGAACTATACAAAAGAGATGACAAAATGAAAGACACATGGAGTGAAGAGCCATATGAAGATGAACCACAAATTCTAAAAACTGAGGTGGAAGCTGCAATAAAAGAAATGGCAAAAAGCAAATCACCAGGAAAAGATGATATTCCAATTGAACTGCTGCAATCCACATTGACAGAGCCAACTTTAGTGCTAACCAACATATGTCAACAGATATGGAAAACAAATGATGGCCAACAGACTGGAAGTGATCAATATACATCCCTATCCTCAAAAAAGGAGACACAAGAGACTGCAGCAATTATAGAATCATAGCACTAACCTCCCACACAAGCAAAATCATGCTCAAAATTCTGCAACATAGACTCCAAACACACATGGAGAGAGAAATCCCTTTTATTTACTCAATATTCTAAATAAGGTCCCATCTCATTTAGAAAGAAAACAGTAGAGAATTTTACTCTATATGATAATGGCGGCAAGACTTTTGGTTGCACAAAAATGGAAAAATAATGAACTTCCTGCATTAGATGATTGGCTGCTAAACTTATCAGAAATGATGGAAATGGATATTTTGATGGCTTGTCTGAATCAGAAGGATATGAACGTAATTGAGAAAGAATGGCTTCCAGTAAATGAATTTTGTAAGAACAGATGGAATTAAACTATAGGTAGAGTAATAGGATGACAGGAAAATAAGATGAACTGTGCATCACATGAATATAAAACTTTGTGACTACTGTAGATGTATGGGTGTATATAATAAAAGAACAAAAGAACAATAGTTTTTTGTGGGGTTTTCGGGCTGTGTGGCCATGTTCTAGAAGAGTTTCTTTCTGACTTTTCACCAGCATCTGTGGCTGGCATCGGCGAAACGTCAGAAAGAAACTCTTCTAGAACATGGCCATACAGCCCGAAAAACCAACAAAAAACTATGGATGCCGGCCATGAAAATCTATGATTTCACAAAATAACAATAAATTCAAATAGAATGTGTAAAACATATTCTTCTGCCCCTCCAAACCCACACACATGATATTTTTCTGTGGTGATCTAGAGGCATCTAGAGGCCTTCTTCTGCTGCCTATACCTTAAAGAATACTTCAAGGACCATGACACCAGTCAGGAGACCAATGCACAAGTATCACCCCTGTCCTCACAACACAGCAATAGAAACTACAACAATACCTCTCAGACTTATAAAAAGAAGAACTCCACATGGACTCTGCCTAATGGCTGATGTGCAGAACAAGACTTCTACATAGAATGTTTCCGCCACTGTGCCAAGACAGAAATAATAATAGATGTAATTTACAACAGAATCTTAGTCACAAGGAACAAGATGCCATACAAGTTTCCAGAACAACCCTAATACAGGTACAGTGCACCCTTGCTACCCATGGGGGATAGTTAAAAAGGATAGTAAAAAATGTGGGCCTTTAAGTCCCATTCTTTTCAATGGATGCACGCTCCCACTTGTGCCGCTGTGTGCGCATTTGCCCATTAAGAATGCCAGGGCTTGCCATCCGTGGAAGGTCAAATCACAAATGGCAAGCCCACACTTGGTGCGGGCACACTCTATTGTCATCAAAGCAGCTGACAAAGAAGGAGCTGTAATCATCATGGACAAATCTGATTACATACAGGAAGCTGAGGGGCAAGTGTCCAACACTACATTTTACAGAATCCTATCTAAAAATCTCACAAAGGAATACTGGAGGAAATTACACAGGCTGCTTAGGGAATTTCCCATGGAGGTGCAGAACCAAATCCTAACTGACACAGCTCAGGAGCCTCAACAGGCACATTCTATCTATTATCTCAAATACATAAACAGGGCAACCCTGTCTGACCTATTGTCTCTAGCTCTGTAACACTAACAGTTGGTGCCTCTAAATATATGGACAATATCCTTAAACCATATGCCACCAACACTACCATCATGTGAAGGACACCACTGACTTACTGCAGAAAATACAGTCCATTCACAACCTTCCAGGGAACACCATCTTAGCCACTATGGATGTGAAATCTTTGTATACCAACATCCCGTATAAGGATAGACTACAGGTTGTTAGGAACATCATTCCAGATGGGATCTTAGCAGACTTGGCCCCCAAGATCTACCATTTTTTCTTACACACAATTACTTCATCTTTGGTAACAATGTATACTTTCAAGTCAATGGTACTGCCAGAAAAATGACAGAACCCCATGAGTGGTCACATACACCACAATATGTCAACATCTTCATGGGTGATCTAAAGCAATGCTTCCTTGACTCTTGCACCCAGAAACCACTCTTCTACCTAAGGTATATTGATGATATCTTAATAATTTTGACTCATGGAGAAGACTCACTCAAGATAGTTTTTTGTGGGTTTTCTGGGCTGTATGGCCATGTTCTAGAAGAGTTTCTTTCTGACGTTTCGCCAGCATCTGTGGCTGGCATCTTCAGAGAAAACTGTTTTCTCTGAAGATGCCAGCCACAGATGCTGGTGAAACATCAGAAAGAAACTCTTCTAGAACATGGCCACACAGCCCGAAAAACCCACAAAAAACTATGGATGCCGGCCATGAAAGCCTACGACCTCACTCAAGATATTCCACCAGAGTTTCAACAACTTCCACCCTACCATCTATTTCAGTCTGGAACTATCAACAGGATAAATTCACTTTTTGGACACCATGGTAAAGCTACAAAACAGACATCTAAGCACCACACTATATTGCAGACCTACTGACTGCTACATGTACTTACATGTCACAAGTTTCCACCCTGAACACACCACTAGATCCATAGTCTACAGCCAAGCCTTCCAAAACAATTGGATCTGCTCAGACCCACAAGACAGGGATGCTAAACTCAAGGAATTACAAGCATTCCTCAAACTACAGTAAAAGAAAACAAATAAACAAGGCAAGACTTGTACCCAGGACTAGTCTATTACAGAACAGACTGAAGAAAGAAAAATGACAGAACCCCATGAGTGGTCACATACAACTCCCAGCGGAGAACCACTCATGTGTATCATCAATGAACTACAACCCATTCTGGACAATAATGCTGCTCTCTCAAGGACTCTTGGTGACAAACCTCAAACAAGGCACTTACTTACAGGGGGACACACAACACAGATGTGGACTCTTGCACAAAACCTTGCCACAAACCCAGATGGCAACTCTGCCCACACATCTATTCAGGAAATGTCATCACAGGCCCTAATGACATCACCCACAATATTAAAGGGATTTTCACATGCTCATCCTCCAATGTGATTTATGCCATACTATGTCAGTAATGCCCTTTGGCACTCTACATTGGTTAAACAAGCCCATCCTTACACCAGAAGACAAGTAAGTCAGACATTTAGAATGGGAATACAGTACACAAAAACCGGCTGTAGAACACTTCAATCACCCTGGGCATTCCACCTCAGACTTCAAAACAGTGGTCCTTGAACAAAAGAACTACAGAAGAAGATTAGAAAGAGAAAACCAGAATTGGAATATTTCCACAGACTATAGTCCATCAGCAATGGGTTGAACAGAGATAT